GAATGTCACTAAGTTATTCAAGATGCTTCACAATCATCATAGTAGTAGCTCATAGGTGATTTTTCATCTGTAGGCCAGAAGATTGTCCTCAGAAGATGAAAAGCACTTGAATCCGGTGATTCTGCAATAACCATCAATAGGTGAAATGGTAGAAAGTATTCAGGACAAAACTGGTAAGTAGGTCACTGCTGCTGATGTGGATACTAAGAAAGCTTAGCTCACCACAGCTAAGTGCACCTACAAGTTTACTTCAGTTCTTTCTATAATAACACCACAATTTCATTCCCCAGGCGAAGCAAACAGCACGGGCGAATTAAACGAAGCCAAAAAAGTGCACAGACAACAGAATGAATAAATATGGTGGTCGCTTAGCAATCCTAGTGGAGAGAAAAGTAGACAATATTTACTTGAGAATCATCAATAACTAAATAAGAATCCGGTTTTTTAACCTGTATATTTTTGTAGTTTTCTTTTAGATAAAAACATGGCTTGGAATATAAATATGTACGTGACAGGAATTATTAACCATAAGAACTTCTTCATGATTGTATTTTCGACTTAACTCTTCATGCAAATTGTTGAGTTATTTTTCTGTATCAAATGTTATTCTTCCTCTACCGGTAGCAATGTGCAACAGCAAACCTTTGCCGAATTTTATTTTCGTGTTCGCCATAGTTTCATGTGAAGGTATACCGATGATCTTAAGTTGTAACTGTTCGTAAAAATTAGAATTAAGTAGGTGCCCGCATTGTAATTTCCCGTTCCGTTGTGAGAACCTGTAAATACAACAGTAGTTTAGTAGTTTCGCTAAAACTTTGAGTCGTATATATAAATTTCTTTCCTGTGATATGTTCAGATGAATACTAGTAAAATTTATAGTCCAAAAGAATACGAACGTTTGTAGAATTATGGTCTATTTCGTTAGTAGTACAGCTATAATACTAGACTTAATCCAAAAATTGTGGATATGTCATGATGTGACTACATAATCTTGAAAATCTTATGTAAAAGTCACATCACTGTCCATTGTGACTCGTTATATCGAAGTAATCAGCGATTTAATGTTTAGCGTTTCTAAAGAACACAGGTTGAAGTTAGAACAATATATTTAATATGAATAAAGAAGATAAGTTGCACAAGGATGACTAAGTCTGTAAGGCTGAGCCATGCTATTCAATTCAATTCGATTAATTGTTCCCGCCTTCTCCGTTGTTGACTTTCTCTTCGAGTTAATTGTTGAATATGAACTTTCCGTTTATCTCATGTTCAGCTTTGAGGATTGTGTGGTTAGAATCGATACCACTACACTTTTACCAAGCCGTTATGGGAAGTGAAACGCTGCGATACTTTTGCTTGAAGTACGTTTTCGCGAAAAAAATTTAACTACTGAGTACAGTTGTTATATTTATACTTGAATATTCATTAAAGGAATATATGTGACAGTAGTCAGTATTAAACGTATATATCGTTGAGCCATAAGTCAATTGTTCATATTATTTTCCACATCCAGAAATTCTTTAAGTCATTCTCCTGTACAAACTTCACTATTAAGAAGGTTTAACCTGAAAATGACGCAAGTATTCAGTGCTTGACGACGCTTTTGCCAGCAACACCTTTTAATATAATTTGTACCCACCGAGAGAAATCAAAAGACAGAGTCGAGGAGATCAGAAGAGTGTATTTGGCGATTACCAATATATCGGAATTCTCTGATTTAATCTGGCTAGCGATTGCGATAGATCTTGAGCACAGCTGTACCACACGTGATCTGGTGCGGATGCCTGACCGAGCGCCTTCACCTAGATGAGTCCACTAAAACATGTGGTCAGCATCCAATGTCGAAAACTTACGGAGCTATTTATTTTAAGGATTTATTTACCGCTACAAAGCCTTTCGATTAGTTGACAGAAGCCATAAATTGCAAAACACAAAGCGTGTGGATAGGTTCCCAGCTTAATTAATGCAAATCTGAAGAACAAAAACCAATCATGAAACAAATGGTTTAATTTCTTTAATGGTATCTAATTCAATACGTAGATAGGATAGCAGTTAACAGACATTAACTGTGCCTTGCTTGTTGTTAATAATGCCGTTTTTACTCCAGTCTTTCTAGTTTTACCTAGTCGTTTAATATTTGCAAAAAAGTTTCAGTTTCAGTTTGGGAAGGACAGGAGGCTCAATGGCCTATGTTAGTCCTGGCAATGGTGGTCTCTCAGTTGATCCAACTTTCTTTTGAAAGAGTCGACGGATGGAGCCTCAACCACGTGCTGAGTTAGTGAATTCCACTCGTTGATGATTCGATGGGAAAGTCGATAGTCAGCTGACAAGTAATTTGTTCTGGGCTTGTGAACATTTTTGGAGTGTCCTGTTTTGGAAGACAAGAAAAATGAGGGCATATCAGGTACAAATTTATGACTATGCAATTTGAAAACTGCAATCAAGTCGCCTCTAGTTCTGCGATAAGACAACGGGAAAAGGTTCAGCTTGGCCAGTCGAGATTCATACGGAAGCTTCGCTATTCCGGGAATCAGCTTAGTCGCCGCTCTCTGAACTTTTTCCAGAAGCTCACTGTCTTTTTCTAAGCAGGGGCTAGCCACTTGTATGCAGTACTCAAGTTTAGGACGTACGAACACTGTTTGCGAAATCAAAAACGTTTTAGCGTTGACATAAGTAAAAGCCCTACGTATTGACCATAACGTTCTAAAACCTTTGGCGGCTATTGCACGGCAGTGTGCATTAGGCTTTAAGTCTTGGCTAACTATAACTCCTAAGTCATTATGTGTCTGGACGACAGGTAGCTCAGTGTTATTTATCGAGTATGTACCTGTGCCTTGATGACCTATATGGATCACAACACACTTGGAAGTATTTGTCGGCAACTGCCATGTTTGAGACCATTCAGATAATTTTTTCAGGTTATTTTAGAGTTTTAAGCTACCATCCTTACATCGTGTCGTTATCCATATTTTGACATCGTCAGCAAATAGCAAGACTGATAATGATAGAAGACGAGGAAGGTCATTTACATACAAGAGAAATAGCACTGGCCCCAAAACTGTACCCTGGGGCACTCCATTAAGCACAGCTTCCCAGCTAGATAACTTTCAGTTCACCCGAACTCTTTGTTGACGCCCAACTAAGAAGTGTTTTATCCACATCAATAAATTGCCTCCAATCCCGACTTTTCTTAACTTATATAACAGCCGGTTGTGCGGAACGTTGTCGAAAGCTTTACTGAAACCAATGTTGGCTACGTCTACATGTAACTTTTGGTCTTTAAGACGTTCCAGCTTTCACTAGCGACTAATAAGTTAGTGAGACGGGAATAACCCATTCTGAAACCGTGCTGCTTCTCCGAAAGGATCAGGCTTTCACTGAGGTACTTAAACAGCTCCTTCCGAATAATCTTTTCTAAGATTTTAACAACCATACTAGTTAGGCTAACGGGTCGGTAATTCTCAATTTTATGTTTCGTACCTGTTTGAAGACAGGACTTACTATGGCGTTCTTCCTGTCTTTTGGTAAACGACCTTGCGTTACGGATAGATTGAAGCATATATTTTTAAGGACTAACGACAGTATCTCATTGCCATTTACTAACTTTCATTCTGTTTACTTTTTTACCGTTAATATACATAGGTTCCAGCCTGGAGGCATCGGTGATGCACTGTTACTAGATATTGAGGGCCGTTAAGCATTTGAGTAGTTTGACTACACCTCTACGTAAGCTACAGCTCTGTTGTCCGACTTATTCAAAGAATTTAGAATCCGCAGTGGAATTCTAACCATTAGAACTGGTCCAGTTCTTCATATCCTTTAACATACCTCTTTTGTTAACGAATATTTTGTTAATTTATGCACTTCAAAAAATTGAAGCGGAAGTCCTATTTTCATTACCTACGAATAGTACACCACAAACACGTACAGAACAGTAACTTGTAGGTCGCTCTTTCTGAAAGTAAAGTTCGATGTGTTTGTTTAAACATCTGTAACTGCTTGTGACTTTCAGAGAGGATTGCGCGTGCCTTCAAATTTTCCTCAACAGTGCGTCTGACCTTGGGTGGGTGTTCACTATTATGTATCTAACTTATATCATTCTGATTACTGGATACGAAAATTTTTTTTAAACTCTCGACCTTTATGCGAAGAAAATACTGTCTCTTGTGGACAACCGAAAGTTTACAGTTGTCATGAAAATTCAGCATGCATTAATTGTCATTAAATCTTACTTTTTCGTTCAGTTGTCAGAATTTCGTGACATCTATCAACATACATCGATCAGTTCCACATGCATCATTCCCCATATGTAGTAAGGTGTGTTTATTCAAACTCTATTATCAGATAAGTGGTTAGCCGTCGTAAACTGAACTTTCTGGTCCACTAGGTAGTTTGTGCATCACTTTTGTATCATGAGCACAGCGCATACTTTTAACGTTTGCTACCACTGTAGGCAGCCTTTACATCAGAGTAGCTCAGCAATGCCTGTTACGATTTACCATGCAAATTTGAATATGCATATTGATGCGTTTTCCGGGTTTAGGCTCATAGTAGTTTTCTTGTATTTTTTTTCTTACAGACTTGTAACTCACGAGAGTAGCCACCATCACTCGCCAATCGATTATTTAATTTAAATAAATTTAATACAATATGCATGGGAGAGTTAAAATTATACAGACAGCTGAACAAGAACGAGCGAAAAAGCTAAAAAGGACCAAATAAGTAAAGAATTCTCAGAAGAATGTGAAAAGCTCTGGTTGTGTCGTGAAAAAGATGACTTCAATGAAGTGCATTTGGAAGAAATTGGTTCCCTTATTGAGACGTCTCCAGACACAGCAACCCTGTGGAATTATAGACGCGAAATAATAATGCATCTCATTCGGAAGTTTTCTGAGGATCAAGAAAAGGTTTCAAAGTTATTTGAATCTGAATTGAACCTTACAACTCGCTGTTTATTTTGCTCGCCGAAATCTTATACTGTTTGGTATCACCGATCTTGGGTTATGAACAATCACACTTCTCCGAATTGGGAATCTGAATTGAAGCTTTGTAACCAAGCCCTAACACAGGATGAAAGAAATTTCCACTGTTGGGATTACCGCCGCTTTGTCGTTTCCAAGGGTAGTATTTCAACGGAGTTAGAGCTGGAGTTTACAGACTCTGCCATAGAAAAAAATATGAGTAATTATTCAGCTTGGCACTATCGTGGTGAACTTTTAGCTTCTGCGTCTAACGCTTCTGTATCATCGTCCGAAAGTCTTAATCCTCAGACTCATTTGAATAAAAAACAAAGCCAATCTCGGTTTGATTTTTCATTACCGAATGGCGAACTGGATCTTGTTCACAATGCAATATTCACAGATCCCGCTGATCAGAGTCCTTGGTTTTATTATTGGTGGTTATTGGGTCGCGGAGAAAGAAAGGTTTATTTAAGGGAACTGTATATTTCACGGAAGCTGGGAAGATTTGTTCTTGTTTTCAGCTCTGTGAAATTGATGCAAAGTTTAAAAGATTTGCAGGTTTCCATAAAAGTGTTTCCATGTGACGGTACAATTTCTAATTCTATAACTTTAACACCTGAGCTTCTTGGGGGATGGAACTCTGTCCTAGATGAGCAGTTATCAGCTGTTTGGTGGTTGCGCTTAACCAAGATTTAGTATCTCGTTACGCTCCTGATAATGATAGGCACCTGTATCAGTGTCAACCTTGGAATGTTGTAGCCCAAGTCTGGATTAGAAAAGCTAATGGCGATGGAAACCAGGAAATCTGTGTTAATATGCCTGAAGATTCTGCAAACTACTTGTCCCTTCAGTGTTGTATGGATTCTCATCAAAATGAATCACTGACACGCGTCACTCTAGACCCTCTAAGATTGTTAAATCCTATGATTTTGCCTTCACATGATCCAAAAGATTTGGTTGGGGAACTGAATATTGTTCGTGACCTGCTGTCATTTGAACCGAAAAACAAATGGGCTTTGCTGACGCTTGTCAGCCTTCTTCGCTTTATTCGACCGCATAATTTTCATGAAGAGGTAGAAGAAGCGTTAAACGTGTTAGTGTCAGTTGATCCTCAGCGTTCTTTTTATTATGAGCACTTGCGATCTTTGTATGCAGCTCTAGATGTTCTGGCTCATGCATATGAAGATCAGTCCAGGGAAGTGGTGTTACATAATCTGGATATGAGTTGCTTTCGTAATCTTGATTGGTATGCGTTGATGACCAAAATCGATTTTTCTAATAACTCAATCGTACGAATCCCGGATACTTTCTCTTATTTAATCTCCGTTTTAGAACTGAATTTAGATGATAACCAGTTAATAACTCTTTGTGGGATTTCCCGTCTTCCGTCTCTAACCAACCTTTCTGTCCAACGCAATCGACTGTGTACTTTCGAATCGATTGAAGACTTAGTTTATTGCCCTAGTTTGCGCGTAGTGTACATAAATGGAAACGAAGTAATCAAGTTACCCCAGTTGAGTAATTTGATATCAAAACATCCAGGGTTTCAAAGACAGGGAGATTCATTTTCTTTGGTGTACGATAAAACATTTCACCATTAACATCACAATTTTGTACAAAATATTTAGATTTACTAGCATAATTTTGATATTTTTAACTCATGATATTCTACAGTTTTTCATATGTAAATTTCCATATTTCTGCATTAAATATATACAACACTTTAATACCAAGAACCAAGTATGAAGTATATTTGTTTATTTCATTTAGATGGAGGTAAAATTATGTTTTTGGGTTCTGTGGGTTAGATTTTGCATCTTGCTTAGAAATTAGCATGTCTTTTAACATAGGTAACCACTCGTTAGTTATTAAATCCCCTTTTTCAGCTATGAAGGAAAGTGGTCTAGTTAGTATTAACTGAACACTTATATTCCAACGTCTAAAACATTTGTTCTCGAACAGCCCGACCATATGCTCTTGCCTCGTTGCTCACCAGTCCCAGATTTGGAGCACAAAGTGGTCCACTCAATTACATAAGAATTACTCACTAACCGTCTGTACTCATCAAGTAACTGGATAGTTTCACAGAATCCGCTTGAATAAAAGGTAGCTTAACTGGGTATGAGTCTCACTAAGTGTGAGGGCTGATGATGCTACTTGGTTGCCCAAACTGAAGTGGATTGAGTGAGTTTCGAACCTGTAACTTATTGGCTGAAAGTTGAACGCTTTCACTGCTAAGCCACCTCAATATATAATGACTACCTACTTTGGGCACTTTTGTCAGAACCTAATACTTCTATTTCGGCATTATGTTGACGAAATTAGTCCTCTTAACGTCTGGTTCTGCTTTTCTAGTAGGATAGTATCTTGTTTAAAGGACCATAATCTCTCAATCACTATTTTCTGCTTGTCGTTTCCGATTTACTTTAATTCCTACAGATAAGGAGAATTCAAACACTTGTCACAGTCAGACATTTTGCTTTTGCGTATAATGGTTGACATTAAACTTTGGGTTATCATACCAAAAATGGTCAGCCAAATCATCATCTCAAGACGATTTCCCTTTTATACGTAAATGGTTATTAAGAGTTAAACATGGTTGTGTTCCCTTTTTCCCATTCATATGAGAGCAGTTCCCCCAATTGAGTTTTGACTCGTTCAAAAAGTCGAAAATCTGGAATAGCCATGACCCACTTCCTTCACTTAAGTGATATAACCTAGGGTGGTTTTTCAGCGATTTACTTGTGTTCAAATGTATAGACTGGATTAGTGAGCTTTTTGGGATCATTTTTGGAATAAAACGTGAAAATCAAAGCTCTTTTAGTCTGTCATCGATTTCCGCGATTGATTTTGAGCGAAGTGTTAACGAGGTTTTTAAATATTCATTGGTTATACACGGGATTCTTTTAGAAAAATCAGTTGTAATGCTATTGGGCTAAACAGTTTCTTCTTTAGTATTTGAGTGTTTTATGAAGTTATTTTCCATATATTATTAACTACTATACTATTTACTTCATAAGGATCACAAGCCAATTTAAAACGCTTTTTGATAATGTGTGCCAGTTTATTTGGCACTTTGTAATTGTAAAGAAAATAAAGAAATAAATCCGATGAATACATTTTAGTGTTTTTAATACTGATGCATATCTCTCATGATCTCCAACAACTGTTTTTTGTTCCGGCTGATAGTAACTTAATCGACTTGTGAAGTGTATTAATGTGGTCATCTTTGTATTATTACAAACTACAACCAGCCTCGCATTAAGGTGGGTGGCGTGACCTTTCCCAACCATCTTATTGGGCGCTAGTAAGGAATCTCGACTAACAACCCTTTTGTGTCTGAAATTCGTTATGCAGCCTCATAGTTGCATGCCTGGTGGTTTAACTGCATTTAAAGTAGTTTGTAGGGATGGAATCCCTTAGTTTACAATATTTTAACAACTGCTGAGGGTCATTTACGGACAACGTACAGAAAGTTATGTAAACTAACTACCCAGATTCTGGCCAGCATCCATAAATGTGGTATGTGCCTTCCAACATTGAAGTGAAATTTACCACAATAAGTGCAAAGCTACGTGCTTGCACCCATCCTTGGTCTTGAATCATTGGAAATAGTGAATTCCATGCTGCTGTGTATTTTTATAAATATTAGTGTGTAAGACGGGTTCAGCCTGCCTGTAGTTGATAGAGGTTATTGTGATCTAGGCCACCTCCAGTGCTACCGATTATTCTAGCCAGAAATTTCGTTGTAGAATGCTGTGGTGATTGCAGTTAAAAACGACTAACATCTCATCGTTTCACGACTTGCCAGTGTGGATGCTGAAGATCATTAAAATTAATGCTGCAAGGTTTTATTAGTTTTAGTTCACACTTAAAACCAGCGGTGATCTTGGTCTAGTTCTTCATAAACAGTTTGATGTCTCTCTGCTGAATGGGAGTCTACCTTGGTTTTGTCATTACTTAGACTATTTTTTGACTTCCCTTTTTTAATATTTTTAACAAATAGTTTCTATTTCTTTACACTGTAGTCACTTGGTTTTGTGTGGCATGTTTATTAGTATCTTATTTTACTGAGTATTGTCTGGCAGCGCGATCCAAAAATAAGGAAAAAAATTTCTGCGGAGTACAAAGTGTAAGGTGCATTTCTCTGGAACCGGTTATTCTTAGCATTTTAAAATAAGGTAATTAGGAATATCCCCATCTCTTGCTTTTACAACCTAACGCATAACATTGAAATGTCTACACCTTAGAATGACATGAGGTATGAATATATCTGAGCTATATTACCGAAGTTTTGTAATTATCAATATGTTTCTTTTACATATCACTCGTAAGAAATATACATTGCTTTGACAAACAGGCGATGGATAAAATGATTAGTTAACAGTGTAAAATGGAAGAGTTAAAGCTTTGACATTCAAGTTAGGAAATTATTATGCCACAGTGTAGTGACAGTGATTAGAGTAATTAAATATCAACCGGCAATTCACAGTTTCGAACCCCGCTATCTTTGTGTAGGTTGCATACTTAACCTTCACACAGTATGGCTTTAAGTACGGAAACTTGTACGTGGCAAATGAGATACAAACTACAATTTCTCAATTATCTTTCATATCATTATCGAAAAAATGAGTAAATTTTTTTATTTACCAACTATTTAGTTACCGAGATGAAAACATATGGTATCTCTGGTTGCTGGTTTTTCTTCATTTATGTATATATATTAGACAGGGTTTTCCCTTTTAATATGTATCGGTTCAGGTTGTCACACCTTAGCACGTCATTAGGAAAGATTATTATAATATAATATAAATGACACAAATGAGGACAGAACAAAGGTTGAACGAGATTATACAATTAAGGGGCAATTTTGATCTATGTCGCTTAATATGTTCAACCAAAGAATAGGATATATATACCGTATTTTTCAAATATTCGTTTCGGCGTTGAAGTAGGAAACAGTTTAAAATTGGATTGGCTCGAAATATATAAGTCCTATATTGTTTCGTATGTTTTATAAAGGAATAGAGAATAATATAATTATCACAATCATGAAAAATAAACGTATTTTATATCTATAATCTAAATCTGTTAAGTCCATCTTTCGCAAACAAGACGTAATGTTGTGTGTTAAAGGAAGCTAGAAAATATTAAGAGTTCGGTCTGAGTTACAAATTAATGTGATGCATATTTGTAGAGTAAGTAGGAAAAAGCCTAAATATATTAAACGAAAACAATGAAGTAATCCTGTGTCAATAATTATTCAGTCTAAATTAATTCAGAATTCTGATCGCTAGCTATTCTTGTTAGGTTCTACACGACGACCGGTTCTAATCTGCCTATTTCATCCACAGAGCGTTTTGTAAACTGAACGGAGTTATGAACTATGCACCATACGGGAGTATATACGAGAAAATATTTTTCCGTCTCCTGGGGTGTTTGATCCGTCGGTGTTTTACAATCCGAAGTTAGGTCTGACCTATAATAATATTATGACATCGCAAATAACAGTAATTACTCCTATCAAACCTTGGTTACTGTTTTTTATGAAAGTATTTTTACATGCTTTCATTATCATTAAAGGAAAACCTATATATATATATATATATATATATATATATATATATATATATATATATATATATATATATATATATATGGAACGTTTTAATTACCCACATGATTATTAATTTACTGTATTCTAGGTTCATCTAAAATGAGTGGTGATCTGGAAGGTTGTTGTAGATATAGTACGAGCAAAGCTGGTATGGAAGGTTTAGATAAAGCCACAATTATGAATATTATATTGGAGAATTCCAAAGGTGAATTTTGTAGAAATATATATATATATATATATAACTGTTCACTTGACAATTTGCCAAAAGTTTTCAGCTTTCATTAAATGAAAT